GGGAGTCGGGTAGGGAATGTCGTTGAAGAGGCGCTTAAACGAGTCTACCGAAAACGGCCTCGGCCTTCCCTCCATCTCGGCCTCCATGGCTAGCCTTTCCATGATATCCAGCAACGTCGTGGCAGGCTTTGGATGCAGGTAGTTGTTCCAGACCATCTTGTGGACCTGAAAGAGAATGGGAAAGGGCAGCAGCAGCGGGTTATTTCCGAGGATGCTAATCTTGCGGTGAAAGTCTTGCAGGCAGCCGAGGTACTCGTGGCCGCTGGCACGGGGGTCGCGGTCGACGCGCAGCGTGTGGCGGCTGACGGACACGTTGTGGTGCTCCTTGACGGCGGCAAAGACGCGGGCGACGTCGTCATCGGCGATTTGGAAGCGGTAGACGAGGCAATGGGCGACGAACTTGGACAGCTCGGGCCAGCCGCTCAGCATGGGCATGCGGCACCACTGGGTGCGCAGGTCTGGATCGACAGTGTTGCGAGCATAGAAGCGTGGGCACTTGTTGAGGATCATGGTGAAGGAGCGGTCGCCAAAGTCAAAGACGCAGTCCTCGACGGTGCCGTAGGAAATGTGCATCTGATTGTGGGTGACGGTAGTGAAGATGCACGACTTGCGCTTGAACTGGGCGTGGCCGGCAGTAGTGCATTCAGTTTCGCGGGCAAACACGAGCGACTTGATGGTGTTGGTGGTGGTAGTGGTGGTAGTAGTAGTAGCGTTTCCGTTGGGTGCTGCAGTGGTGGCTGGGTCAACGTAGACCATTTTGCCACAGGCGATGCTGCTGATGCGTACAACCGTTGTAGGCGCCGCCGTCGAGGCTTTCACCGGCGCGGCGCGGCTTTCTCGCTGGTCTTTTTCGAGGGCGAGGTGGCTGAGAATCAGAGGATCCGGCTCCTTGGCGCTCTTTTCGGCGTAGACGTCTACGTGTAGTAGACATAATTTGGATATTTCCGGACCCTTGCGTTGTTGTTGTTGCTGCTGCTGCTGCTGTTGTTGTTGTTGCTGTTGCTGAATGTGTTGTTGTTGCTGCTGCTGTGCCTTGTTACTGGTGTTGCTGTTGCTGCTGCCGCCGCCAGTGTTTGTAACCTCGACGGCGGCTGCAGCGGCGGCGGCGCGCGGCTGCGTCGGCGCAATGACTTTGCCGTGGCGCTCGAGAAAAGCAACGCCGTCCTCGCGCCGTAAAAAGGTGAGCCACGCCTGCGTCTTCTTTTTGGGCTTGTCGCACGACCAGTCCTCGATGGCGAGACGCCTCATGAGCGGGAGTAGCTCATGGCGAAGGCTGTCGTCTGCGAGGTCCTTGGGGACGCCGCGGAGAAAGACCTCCATTGGGTTGACAGCGAGGGGAAGTGTATCTCTCTTCTTTTTATTGCGCTTGGGGGGCAAAAAAAAAAAAAAAAGAAGGGTACAGTGATGAAGAGGGATGGAAATGAAGAAAGAAAAGACAAGAGGGAAGAAAATGCAATCCAAGAGAAGAAGAGAAAAAATAAAAAGAGAGGCAGAAGCGAACAGGAAAAAAAGAGCAGTGAATAATTCGTAGACGATGTTAATAATCTTGTTTATTTTTTCTGGGCTCTCTGCTGCTGTTGCTGCTGCTGCCCAAGGATACGCAAACAAGACACACACACACACGCACACACGCACACACAATGCACACGGGGCGCGGGTTTCGGGAAGAGTGCAAAAAAGGCTTCACTTGCGTCCCTACTTTTTTTTTTCCCACTCCTCCGTCACCACATTGAACCACACCACCAAAAAAAAACACCACCCAAATAGGTGGTTAGCCGCCGGCTGGCTCCACGACGCACAAACGATTTCAACAACTTTTGGTCACGGCGGCAACTGGCCACCGCATTTCACTGCCCGTGTTTCTTCCATGTATCGCGCGAGACTTGCACAAGTCCCCGTCTCTCCCCTCCGCCCCCCCTTTTTGTGCAACGTCTTGACCAAATTCACACACAAGACCAACCTTTTTTTTTTTTTTTTTTTTTTCAGTCTCCTTCTTCTGTGGCGAGCCCACTGCGCTGGATCTCTCTAGTCGCACAAGGTGTAGAGCCTCGGTGAAGGAAAGCCCTCGGTGAGGGGAAATGAGTGAATGGAGTCGTGTGTGTACTCTTGCTTCTTGTATGCTCGCCATCCACGAACCGGGACTTTACTGGTAAAAAAAAAAAAAATGTGTGCAAATTGCAGGAGAGACGCAGGAGAGTCCCAAGTCGGAAGAAACATGATTTTGCTTCAATTTTAGTTGGATTTAGCGCGCGGGTGCTGGCAGGGCCTCGCTCGCCCGGCTGCATGTATCAGCACAATGGGCACCACAGAAACACACCCGTTCGACATATAACTTTACCCGAACTCTGCATAATTCCAAAACGGCAAAAGAAGCAGAAAAAAAAGATGACAAGGTAAAAAAAAAAAACAGTTACACAGATCGGATTGTAAAACAAGCCTACCCGCGATTAGTGCTACCCAATTCCCGATCAACATGGCTAACTAGAGTTGCCGCCGTCCGCTGCCGACGCCGACGCCGTCCGCCGTTGATTTTACTTCCCGAACGACACTGCCGAGATGGGAGATGGAGACGGCGCTAACCGCACCACCCCTTCTTCAACCCTTTTTATCAGTCAACCTTTCAGTTCAACCTTTTTCATTAAAATCCCTCAAAAAACCAAGCAGGTTCAAATCCATAAACCCTCATCTCCATTTCCATTTCCTTTTTTTTTCTTCTTCTCATCTTCTCGTTGCTCATCCATCCCTCCACGACAACCACGCAGCCCAACCAAACCTTCCCAGCCATGGCCTCTCCCGGCCTTCTCTACGTGACCATGCAGCCCCGGCCCGGCCTCCCCATCGCCCAATTCCACGAATGGTACAACAACGAGCACGGCCCGACGCGCCTCTCCATTCCCTCCATCTTTGCCAACGGCTTCCGCTACCAATCCACCTCTCCCACCACCACCACCACCACCTCCTCCCCCTCCTCTCCTGCCTTTCTAGCCGTCTACGACATTCATCACATGCCCCTCCTCGCCACACCCACCTACACCACCCTCCGCGCCAACCGCTCCCCGCGCGAGGCCGCCACCATTGCCCAAGTCGACGTCCGCCGCGCCTTTTACGACCTGCTGCACACGGCCGCCGCGCCCGACTTTCAGCCCATTGAGAGCCTGTCGGACCGCGACGCCGTCGGGCTCGTCACCGTCGCGGTAGAAATCGCCCTTACATCGGATCCCGCCGCCGGAGACGAGTATCAAAATTGGTATGTGGACGAGCACGTGGGGATGCTGGCCAAGGTGCCCGGATGGCGCCGCAGCCGGCTGTTCAAAACGTCGTCGCTGCTGCAAGAGGGCAATGACGAGACGGCGACGACGTACCTCTGCCTGCACGACTATGCACCGGACAATGGGCTGGGCGGCGCCGAGCACAAGGCGTCCATGGACACGCCCCGACGCACCGCCGTCTTTGAAAAGTACGTGGCCAGGAAAAGCCGACAGACCTATTCTCTATTCTACGTCTTTGGCCCTGCATCGCGCGATCTCTACTCCCTCTCGCAGCTCGACCCCCCGTCCTCTGCCTCCTTCACCTCTCCCTCGGGCACGCTCCAGACCTCTGCCAACTCCATCACCTCGCGCATCACCACCGCTCCCTCTGGCCTCGTCATCCGCTACCGCCTCCAGGGCAACCCCTCGCCCTCCGCGCCCGTCGTCGTCTTCTCCAACTCCCTCCTCACGTCCTACGCCATGTGGGATCCCCTCGTCGCGCTCCTCCAGCAGCACCGTCCCGACCTCTGCGTCCTCCGCTACGACACCCGCGGACGGCACGCCCTCCCGCAGCCT